TTAATAAGTTGAAGCCTTTGCTTTTTAAAATTTTTTTGGCTGGGGCTGGGTTTGAACCTGCCACCTCCAGCATACGGGGCCGGCGCCCTACCCTTTTGAGCCATAGGTGCTGCCCCTGACCCCCACTCCTAACCCTGACTCTGTCCTACTAACTCATCTCCCTCTTCTGAGAGGTGCTTCATCCTTTGATTTCTGCCAATACCACTTGGGCACCCAAGGCTCACAGCTCACTTCTTAAAGCTCTGATGCAGGTGGGAACACACCCATATCCACTGAGTTAGAATGTAGGCAGGGGGCCTAGAATTAGAATTTAAACAGGGAGCCAGTTCACTGTCCCTCAGATCATTGGAGGGCTGGACTGCGAGCCCCAGGACAAGTCGGCTGCTAAGCAGGATAGGCAGCGGTGGCAAAAACACCTGGCAGGCCAGATAAATGTCCTAGATGGGCTGCATGTGGCCTGTGGGCCGTAGTTTGAGGATGTCTGATCTAGGGTGAAGGAAAGTAATGAAAAAAAAACCTCAGCAGGTGATTCTGACACAGCCCAGCCCTGCCCACTTCCATGATGAACACATGTATGTGTGTGTGTGTGTGTGTGTGTGTGTGTGTGTATATAGGGACTCCCCACTCAGGAACACCCAGGCTGGGTGGGGGCGTGCACAGTGTGGCTCACAGCCAGAGGTCTGACTTCCAAGTGAAGCATCACCCTCCCGTCTCCTCCCCTCCTTTCCCCTCCTCCTCTCACTCTGTCACCTTGGGTAGAGTGCCCTGGTGTCATAGCTCACAGCAACCTCAAACTCCTGGGCTTAAGTGATCCTTTTGCTTCAGCCTCCCAAGTAGCTGGGACTACAAGTGCCTGCCACCACACCTGGCTAGTTCTTTCTATTTTTAGTAGAGATGGGGGTCTTGCTCTTGCTCAGGCTGGTCTTGAACTCCTGAGCTCAAGCAATCCACTGTCTTGGTTTCCCAGAGTGCTAGGATTACAGGTGTGAGCCATCCTGCCCAGCCCACCCAACCCTTTCAAATGCACCCGCAGGGGTGTTCACTTGCTCTCAGGTTCACTTTTTCATTCATTGCTTATCACTCAACAGCGCCTCCAACATGCTGGGATCCACACAGCCTCTTGAGACCCAAGCCTCTAAGGCCTGGAATCAAGATGGGGCTTGGAAAAGGCAGGACCCAGCCACTGCTGCAGGTCTGGGCAGGAAAGACTTTAGCAGCCACTGAACCAAGACCTGCACTGAGCGTCGGTCAGACTCCTGCGGCTCCTAGAGGAGGTGATAGTCTGGGAGGGAGTGGAACCCAGGCCTCTCTTTTCTGTGCCCCGAGAGACCACTAGATAGTGCTCAGAGTAGTCAGCTAAGGAATTGCTCTGAGCTGCTGGGGTCAGCTGGGAGATGGGCCAATAGGTGAACCCCCAAAGCAAGAAAAGTATTTCCTTCTGTCTCCCTCTTTTCCCCCAGCTCTTTACTAAAAATAGAAGTTAAGGACTCTCCCAGCTCCCACAAAGGACTATTAGGGCTGAGGATGCCATTTTCTACTGGTGAAATAAGAGACACAGAGTGAGGTAAGGGGACTTTTGCCAGGAAGGAATAGTAATTCCCAGCCTGGAGGAGGGAAGAAACTATGTGCAAAGTCTGAACATCCAGCACTGCTCCTTATCACCCAGCATTGCTGGTGGGAGGCCTCAGGACAGGGCAGTGAGGCCAAGGAGGGCTCACTCCATCCTTAGAACCCTGCCCTTCCACCCCTCCTCCAAGTTAGTGTGAGCCCTCAGCTAACATCCCAGCAAGCTGTCTAGTGGCTTCTAGTCCACAGCCTAGTAATCTCTGCACCACAGATTACTGAGAGGCACCATGGGGTAGAGAAGTGTCACCCCAGGTGGTCTGTACTCAGGCAACTGCAAGCACTCTTTATCCACTTCCCGTTGACACAAGGAGTGCAGGTGAAGGAGCACAGGGGGACATACTCACACAGAGGCATGGTCATTTGCTAAGTGAGTCAGAAAGACACACCACGTTAGCGCAGGAGGCTATGAGAAAGGATGTGGGTGAAAGGGCCAGAAGGCAGCATCCCAGAGCCCAGGAACCCGGGGTGAGATGCAGGAGATGCGAAAGGCAGGTCCTGGGTGGGTGATACGGAGTGAGGAGGTAGAAGCAGCTGGTGCCTCCAGGCTTGGCTGACAATGGACTCAGCATCAGCCTGGGTAAGGGGGCATGTGTGTGTATTCATGGGACAGAGAACAGAAAGTGAGAGTGGGGGAAGCTGCTGATTAGCCTAGTCCCAGCTGGTTGTGCTCAGGACCCTATTGGGTGGGCCTGGAACATTCCCCTCACCCACCAGTGCAGGGATATTAAACACTAAACCAAACCAACCTCCCAGCTCTCTCACACCAAAGACAAAGAAAAACCTTATTTGTCTTTTGGCTAATCTGTGGCCATGCTCAGCCCAGCAGCTGGGCTCTGCATGTGGAGGCATGTACCTGTGTGTGCTTGCACATGTTTATGTGTGTGGTAGCCAAGGCCAGGTCATGCACTCTGGGAATACAGATGGTTAGCCCCTGGAGTCCCTGCCTATGTCTTAAGATTGGCACAAAAGTTTTCCTGCCCCAGTCAGGAGGCTGAGTCCAGGCCTGGGAGCAAGTTTTGGGAAATCGCTGTAGGTAGATACCACGAGTCACTGAGGAGGTCTTGGGACTGACCAGGGTGAGTGATCCTGTCCCCTTTCCAACAACCCAGCTCTCTGAGTCCCCCCAGAAAGTCCTGGACTACAGGGAGAGACAGGCCTAGGATGTACTTCCGTAGCTCTTAATCCTCTGGGTTCAGAGAAGACAAATGTCAGGCATGGGAGGGTCTCGCCACCTCGTGGGGACATGTGGTACTCCTCACTAAGTCCCTGGCCAACCAGACTGGAAGGGACAGAGGGAAAGGACAATGATTCACAGGCATTGAGCTGGCATTGACTACTCTCACACTCCCACAGAAGCCAGGAGCAGGGTGAGGAAATCCATCTGCCATGGCATTAAGGGTAGCCCATACTGGCCCATTCCCTCCTGCAAAGCTGAGCTTGATGCCACATGATGCAGCCTGACCACATTTGAAACACCTCAGAGCAGTGATTTTCAGCTGGTGTGCCATGGCACACTGGTGAGCCATGAGAAGATCTTAGATGTGCTGTGAAAAATTTTAAAGATCATTAAGTAGGCTTGGTGCCTGTGGCTCAAGTGGCTAAGGTGCCAGCCACATACACCTAAGGTGGTGGGTTCAAATCCAGCCCAGGCCTGCCAAAACAACAATGATGGCTGCAACCAAAAAATAGCCAGGTGCCTGTGGTCCCAGCTACTTGGGATGCTGAGGCAGGAGACTTGCTTGAGCCCAGGAGTTGGAGGTTGCTGTGAGCTGTGATGCCACAGCACTCTACCCAGGGCGATAGCTTGAGGCTCTGTCTCAAAAAAAAAAAAAAAAAAAAAAAAAAGATCATTAAGTAATTTTTGAAAAAAGCTCAAAGCATGGTAAGTATATTCTTTTCTTACTCTTTTTAAAAATCAACGTAATTTAATTGTGCCGCATAAGTTTAACTATAATAAGTTCAAGTGTGGTGTGAGATAAAAAAGTTTGAAGAACGCTGTCTTAGAAGAGGGTTTATAGAAAGGAATCTTGGCTTTCATCTTCTCTAAGGAAACTGAAGCCCAGAGAGGTAGTGGCCTCTGCCTAACCCCCCTACAACATCTCTAACAGAGAGGAAAGTGGGGCCAAGAGTTCCTGAATCCAAAGCTCATGCATTTTCCAGCAAGTTCAAGACAAGTTGTCCAGACCAAACCCATCCCCCACCAAGGAGGCCTGGAATAGAGACAGTGCAGGGAAATTTTGCCACAAGTCAGCAAGGGGAGAATGTCTGGGTAGGTCAGAGGAGAGGTGGGCGCTAGGTTGATCTGGATCTCAGTGTTAAGAGACAGTAAATAAAATTAGCATTTATGGAGTATTTACCACAATGCTAGTGTTCTGAACACTGACAAACATTGGGTTGCTTAATACTCATAATGACCCTTTGGAGTAGGTATCCTTATAATCCACTTTTTTCAGATAAGGAAACCTAGGTATAGAGAAGAAAACCAACTTGTCCTGGATTACCAGCTGGTAAGTGGCAGAAGGAATCTAAGTCCAGTGGTTTTGACTCCAGTGAGGATAGGAGGGCAGAATGCTTTGCTGAATAAACTAAAAGCATGCTCATAGGGGACCCTGCAGCCCAGGGAGATACCAGCTCCATCCAGCCCAGGGCCTGCCCTCTTCGGTAAGCACTACTGCTGTTCTCCAGGAGGCCTGGCCTCACTGCGCCCTCTGCTGACCACAAAGAAGACCAAAGTAGAGTTCTGTGTGCACTGAGGCAGGGCTGAGTCCTAGAGTCAATTGGCAGGGGACCATGCTCCCTCCTCCCAAATATGGGCTGGGGCCAGGAGGCTGGCTGTAGACCATCCCATTGTGGAGCTTCCAGCTCAATCTCTGTCTACAAACCTGCCGGACTGGCTTGGTTGCAGCCCTGATTTCTCAGGGATTCCCTCTCAGAATTTTGCCCATCTTCTCCAAAAGCCAGATGAACAATGCCAAGAGGGCCAAGAGGAGCTGCAATCCATTAAGTATTACCATGCAGAAAAGGGTAAAACTGGAACTCCAAATAAGAGCCAAGGAAAAGACCTGCCCTCAAGGGCTGTGGGGAGGGCAGGCTGTGAGTTGGGCCTTGAAGGATGAATACTCTGAATAGCCCAGGCGTGAGGAAAGAACAGTAAAGACTGGAGGCAGTGTGGGTAAAAAAATGAAGAAAGAACAAGCACCTAGCCATGCCCATCTTTGAGAACTTTGGACCTCAGCTTGCCACAGAATGGAGCTCAGTGAGAAGAAGACCACAGACCTGGGATAGGGAAATAAGGCAAACTTCAGGGCTGCTTTGGCCTAGTGAACCAGGCAGTTAGTCATGGGCACTGTATTGGAAGAGAAAGCAGGCATTAATCAAGGACAATAATTCACATTTTATTTGCTGTGTACAAAGGCTCTCAGGTGTTTCTTCCCCTCGCTCAGGGTAGAGAGAGGAGGTGGGTTCTGAAGGAAGCATCAGAGTGAAGATACCTAGTTCAACAGGAGGTCCTGCTACCCTGAGCAAGGGGCATTAGTGTAGGCTGGAACTTGTCCTGTCTGCACACACACACCCCCCCCCACATGGGTCCTATTTGACACCAGCTCCTTCCCTCTTTTTCCATGTACTGGAAGTGGGCAGGAGACCCAACCTCCCCTCTTCAGTGTTTCAGTTCCTTTTCCTGCTCTATTCCTGGAGACAGAGAACACTAAAAACACATAATCTCTCTCCTAAGCTTCCTCATAACCCAGGGTGGGAAACAGAAACTCCAGACAATGGCAGCCTAACAACCTCAAGTCCCCACAGCTGGCTGTATTTGCTAGCAAGATAGTAGGCATAACTGTTTATCTGTTTAAGGCAGGGTTGGTGGTGTCTTTGTGTCAGGATGACTTTGGGGTGTTCCTGAAAGTGGAGTCAGAAAGGCCTAGGAAAGGACATGGGCTTATTTATCATAGAAGTCTATGTGGTCTCCAGACTTGAACTCGTCCTTCTGTAGCACACTCAGCAGTTTCTGGGCTGATACCCTGCAATCCACAAGCTCCCCACTTGTCTTCAGCTTCTGTAGCCTTTTTCGCAAGTCTGGGTCCACAGAGGTCTCCCGGGCCAACTGCTGCATGTCTGTGTCCAGGGGACCTAAGGGATAAAGAGCAGAAGAGAGGACATGGGTAAGGCAGGGGCAAAAGATCACAGTCCTCACTATACATGGGGGTGGGGAGGGTGGAGCTCAGTCAGATTTGGCCAGAAACACTTCATCTTGGCTGAAATGTGAAATGTGAGGTTAGAGTTGCCAAAGCTCAGTTTTGTCACTACTGAGTTCCAGACTTAAATTCCAGAATTCAGTGAACATGGACCATTCAGACAAACTGTGTCTAAAACACCAAGTTTCTCATCTCCTGTCCAACCAGCACCACCTACCAACTTTTCCATTTTTATTAATGAAGTATTCTCCTATACTCAAACCCTTTTGCTCCTATAGCCAACTGGGCACCAGGTAGAAACCTACCATATCTGTTATACATATTCTGATAACCAGGCCCTTTTTACAACCTTCATTTTCCCCCTGCTTCAACTCCTTCCGTAGCCACCTGCTCAATTTATTTTGCTAAACCAACATTCTGCCACTCAAAATTCCTAAATGGCTTCCCAGTAGTCTGGCCTAGTACTTAGGACCCTTTTCTGCTCCCCTCTGAGCACACCTCACCTGCGAACAAATGAGAAGACCTATTACTCTAATAATGAGCCTTCTCACCTTTCCTGTATTTATGAGGAATGCTTTCACTTGCCAACATCAAAGTAGCTCTCAAGGTCAATGCCCAGTTCAGCTACCTCCAATAAAGCCAGCCCTGACCACCCCACCCAAACGGAATCATTCCCTTATGAATTCTAGGTACTCCATTCTTCACATAGGAATTACAGTATCTCAGAATTTGTAGCTACTTGTCCTCAAGAGGCAGAAAATCACAGAATCCCAGGGTTGGAAGGAAAATCCTAGTCCAAGATCTCCTTCTGACCACTTGTGCATCCCTGATAAGAGGGCTTGCTACCTTTCCAAACAGCCCATTCTATCTTTGGACATTCACTAGAACACTGTTTCAGAGACTAAAATGAAAACCAGGCTGGCCACTGCCTTTGTTCGTGATCTGGAGACCTCCCCGAATCTCAGCTCTCTCATAATGCCCAGGGCCATCCCTGAGATCTAAAGTAGCGAGGTGGCATCCTGGAGTGTGCTTTTCTCCTGGCTGTCTTTTACATTTGGACACTGTAGTGTGCTTGAGTCCTAGGCTGAGTTAACAGTGAAGAACAGAATGGTGGGTGTAAGAATAATTGTGCGTGTTGGGGTAAGGCTGAGTCCCAGAGAATATGAGGAAGACCTTGGAAGCAAGGTGAGATCCCAGCCCTGCTGCATCTGGGCTTTGAGTAGGCCATTCTACCTCTCTGCCCCATAGTCCTGATCCTATCCCAAAGTGGGATAGATTACTGGATCTCTACGTAAGTTGCTTACTGAAGTTCTTTCACTACCTTCTAATTGCAGCAACTTCAAGCTTAGAATAGAAGTCTCACTACTAAGAAGAGGTTCTGTGGGCGGTGCTGTGGTTCGAAAGAGTAAGGCGCTGGCCCCATAGACTGGAGGTGGTGGGTTCAAACCCAGCCCTACCCAAAAACTGCAAAAAAAAAAAAAAAAAAAAAAGCAGAGGGCTCTGTGGCATCATAGTAGGGTGGCCAGAACTAGGCCAAGTGTCACAGACTCTTTTGACTTTCATGAAAACAAAGGCTCTACTCTTACTTTCTTACTTATCCCAGCACCTTCCCACTCCACCATGTTCCAGCATAGTTCAGCCTGGGACAGTGAGCATGCAACCATGTCCATCTGCTCCTCATTCAACTAACATGTACCTCACACTGTCTTAATGCAGTGCTCTGCTAGATGCTGAGAATGAACTGCTGAAGAGTGCATGGTCCCTGCCTTCAAGGCTTTCCTGTCAAAAGGAGGGAAGGAGACAAGTAAATACATGACGACAACACAGTGTGAGTCCTATTTAACAATTAGATAGTACTTCACAGATAAGGTTCATTTTCACATGTACTATCTCTTTTAGTCTTCCAAAGGATATGAGAAAGGTAGTATCCTCCCTATTTCACATGAGGAAATGGGCTATGGACCAGGAATTCCAACCCTAGTCGTCTCTCAAAGTCCATCTAATACCTGAGACTTTCCTGCCCCACCCTCCAGCTCAGGACCTTCCCATCCCAGCTTTCTGCCCTATCCCTGGCCCTTGCCACTTCTAACTTCCTTGGAGTCTATATCCCTCCTTGAAGGTAATCACAATTCAGAGACAACATACTGTATGGGTCCTTTTCTGCATGAGGCAGATTAGGCCCCTTGCTAAGATGCCAGAGAAGCAGCCTGTTCTGACAGATAGGAGTGACAACATCCCCCACCTACCTGGGGCATAGCTCAGCACCCGCACACCAGGTTCCTCTGCAGCCAGGACCTGGAACATCATGTTACGAGCAGCCTTTCCTGCACAGTACAGTGCCCAGCCTTTGAAGGGCTGCAGGGCACAGAGGGATGAGATGTTAACCACTGTCCTACTGAGGTCAGGGCTGTCCTGAAAGGCCTTCAGGATGCCAGAGGTTAGGCAAAGCGTAGAGGTCAAGTTCAGAGCCCAGTAGTTGTTCACTTCAGCTGGATCACACAGGTCCACGAAGCCTTTGGACACATCCCCAAGACTGCCTGAAAAACCAGATCTTAGTAATAAATTAGAGCAGGTGTGCCCCAAATTCCTCCCAATATCCCTTCCCATCCAGACCTAGAGGAAGAATCTGCACAGCACTTCTGAAGACACTTACCTCTTCCCTGCCCTGCAGACGGACACGCCCGGAAAACCCACCCATCCAAAGCTGCAGACTGAGAAAGAACCTGCCTTTCCCTGGGAGTGTTAGAGGTGTTTGGAGAAGTAAATTCCTTGTTTGGGAATCCCATGTTCTGACTCAGGCCTCCGCCAGAGGGCGCAGAGCAAGACAATCAGGAAATTTCTACAGGCGCTTGAGAAAACCCGGCTAGCCAAATCCGGCAAAGGGAGGAAGGTTGTACAGACAGTTCCGGGTCTTCTTCCTGTTCCCTCGCCCCCGCTTACTACTCAAGCTGGAAAACTAAGACTTGGGACTTCCAGGAGCCTTACCTTACTTCCTAGGAGTCACCCTCAAATTCCCCAACGGTGGGGGAAGTGAACGCTTAAATGGGGAGTCCGCCCCCAGTCCCCGGAATCTAACCTGCGTTGTTGATAAGCAGCAGTCGCTGCAGCCCCTCAGGCCTAGAAAGCTTGTGAAGGGCTCCCAGCAGCTGCTGCAAGCCGGCCTCAGTGCCCAGGTCGGCGGACACCCCCACCACGCGCAGGCCAGGCCGCCCCGCTCTCAGCTCCGCCTCCAGCTGCAGCAGCGCCTGGTTGTTGCGGGCGCTCAGGACCAGCACGGACTCAGGTGACAGCAGCGAGGCTAGGAGGGGGGCCAACGCCCGGCCGAAGCCGCGGGAGGCCCCGGTCAGCACGCACACAGCACGTCCCAGGCCACCTTCCATGCTGCCAATCTCTACGGAGGACCCTGGGACCCGGAGCGCCGGGACGTGCGGCGGCCGCGGTGGGAGGAGACGCGAGCGTGTGGGCGGAGGCCCCGCCCGGCGGGGGCGGGGTGGGAACTTGAGGCCCAGGACCTGGTTTCCTTGGCGCCTGCTGGCAGAAGTGAAGGCGCGGGTACCGCCGGCCAGGTTGGGTGGGATGGGGCTGGACAGAAAAGGGCCTTGGGGCGCAGCCCACAGGAGAAATCCCAGCCAGCTCCCAGCGCTGTCTTACTCTTTGCCTATCCCTTTAGAGTACTCAATCCCTGGCTGGGACACATGCTTGAAATGTCCTCCAAGTTTCAGACCCAACTTCTTGTGCAACTGACTTGCTGCCAGGCTGGCCCTCTGCTCGGTGCCATGCATCCCTGGATATTGCCTATGAAATCCCTGGATGAAGCCCATGGCCATTCAGGGATTTGGGTCCCTGTTGGGGTTCGGTGACAGCACTCTCTGGGTAACAGGAGCTTCCCCTGAGAGAACCACAGTTCCTTCTCCAATAAATGTTAAAACATTTTTCCTTTTTACTAAGTTCAGGACAACTCGCTGCTCTGGCTGGGTCGTCTTGCCTCTTGATATTTCTCACTCCTTTCCCTAAAAGTCTGTGTTCCCTTGGATTCTGCACCCACTCAGTCCACCTAGATAGCAATTCCATTCGCGCAGCTTCAAGGTTACACAGATGATCACTCAAGAGTGTACCCCGAGGCCTCTGCTACAGAAAATGCGTTTTTTTTTCCAAGGAGAGAGGGAAGATGAGACAAGGTGGTATGTATCTATCTACTAATTTTTTTTTTTTTTTTTTGAGACAGAGTCTCATTTTATCGCCCTCGGTAGAGTGCCATGGCATCACGCAGCTCACAGCAACCTCCAACTCCTGGACTTAGGCAATTTTCTTGCTTCAGCCTTCGGAGTAGCTGGGACTACAGGCGCCCACCACAATGCCCGGCTATTTTTTTGTTGCAGTTTGGCCAGTGCCGGGTTTGAACCCGCCACCCTTGGTATATGGGGCTGGCACCCTACCCACTGAGCCATAGGCACTGCCCCTATCTACAAGGAGTTTCTTTACGATTTCATTTTTATGGCCAAATAGAATTCCATTGTGTATACAAATACGTAAATTATATCAATTAGAAAATGGAATCTGGTCAGAGTTAGGCACTGGCAGTAAGTAATCTCTAATACTCAGCCCAACTCCCCTCAGGGAAGTTCCTTCCCCTGGGACTAGCCAGCAAAGTTGCCTTCCAACTATCTTTGCCAACACCAAAGAAGAAACAAATTGGACGAAAACTTCTCAATATAGATGCCTCTCGCACTTAGCACAAACTTTTTTTATTTTTTGAGACAGAGCCTCAAGCTGTCCCCCTGGGTACAGTGCCGTGGCATCACAGCTCACAGCAACCTCCAACTCCTGGGCTCAAGCGAGTCTCCTGCCTCCCCCTCCCAAGTAGCTGGGACCACAGGCGCCCACCACAGGCGCCCCGACAGCGCCCAGCTATTTTTTTTGGTTGCAGCCGTCATTGTTGTTTGGCGGGCCAGGCTGGATTTGAACCCACCACCTTAGGTGTATGTGGCTGGCACCTTAGCCACTTGAGCCAGCACACACTTTTTGTAAAATGTACAGTTCAAACTGTACATCCACCATGCATCATAACCTAAGAACAAATGAAACTGCAAAGAAAACTTAAACTTCGTTTAGTTCTTTCTTTCTTTTTTTGAGATAGAGTCTCACTGTGTCACCCTCAGTAGAGTGCTGTGGCATCATAGCTCACAGCAACCTCAAACTCTTGGGCTTAAGTGATTCTTTTCCCTCAGCTTCCCAAGTAGCTGGGACTACAGGCACCCACCACAATGCTGGGCTATTTTTTGGTTGTAGTTGTCATTGTTGTTTGGCAGGCCAGGCCTAGGTTCCAACCCTCCAGCTCTGGTGAATGTGGCTGGCTCCCTAGCTGCTGAACTACAGGTGCCAAACCTTGTTTAGTATACTTGTTGTTAATAAGTATTATTTTGAAACTGTTTTATGTAAGGTAGAACAAGGAAGTAATTACATTAATATTAGGAGACAAGATTTTAGAGAAAAGAGATTGAGTATAAGTTCAAGAAACTTAAGGAGAAAATCTATAAAGTTAAATTTGAATTGGAAACCAGAGAACACTACCATTTGCTGGGTGTCATGGCTCATGCCTGTAATCTTAGCACATTTGGAGGCAGAGGTGGGAGGATCATTTGAGATCAGGAATTGGAGACCAACTTGAGTAATAAATCAAGACCCTGTCTCTACTAAAAATAGAAAAAAAAATTAGCCAGGCATGGTAGTGCCTGCCTATAGTCCCAGCTGCTTGGAAAGCTGAGGCAGGAAGATTGCTTCAGCCAAGGAGTTTGAGGTTGCAGTGAGCTATGCTGATGCCACTGCATTGTAGTGTAGGTGACAGTGAGAGTCTGTCTCAAAAAACTAACAAACAAAAAAAGTTTTCTTTTTCCTCAAGGTCATTTTCCAATCTTCCATCGCCCAGAAGCGATGTAAGCAAACAGCAGGTTAATTCTAAACTTTTAAGACAGAAGAAGCCAAAAGCTTATTGGAAGCAAACTGGCTTCCCTTTAGCTAGCCTAGCATTATATGTAGTCTCAATGGCCCTTGGGGTGCACTTACAAGGGCACCAGCCAATCAGAACAGATCCAGGCCATTATGCTAGAATGTAGAGAGGTGGGCTAGAAAGGGCAAGGCTTTGGGTGTTTTGACACAGATAGGATTCTGTATATGTGCATGCCCTTTGAAGCTGCCCTGCTTTTCACTTACCTATTGATGTTGAAAGATTGGTCTAAAGCAGGGGTCCTCAAACTTTTTAAACAGGGGGCCAGTTCACTGTCCCTCAGACCACTGGAGGGCTGGACTGCGGGACATTCGGCTGCTAAGCAGGACAGGCAGTGGCGGCAAAAACACCCAGCGGGCCACGTGCCGTAGTTTGAGGATGCCTGGTCTAAAGCTAAACTCTCCTCTATTGGCCTGACAGACAACTCTTTAAACAGTTGTATTATATTACTTTCTCTCTACTCTTCCAGACCTTAGAAGACAAGATGGTGAAAGGTCAATCCCATCCATTCAGTCGACAGTTATTGAATTTCTACCATGTGCCAGACTTTGAAGAAAAGGAGATGACTAAAAATCAGACCTAGTCTCTTCTGAACCTAGCTGCTTCTAGGAGAACCCATGTGGAAACAGCCCCCAAGGAAAATGTGGTTTGCCTAGACTGGGGGAGAACCTGGAAAGTTCTTCCTTTCTGAGGAAGATGATTATCTATCCCACACCTTCCCCCACTGCCAATCTTACAGGTAATATTTCAGGGGCAACACAGTCAGTAGGTTTTCTTTAACAATAACACAGTAAATCTGTCTGAACATTGGAGTCACTGAGGGACTTCGAACTTCTTTGTCCCATGGGCCTGGTCTTAGAAATTTTTCAAAAATTTCTCCAGGTGATTCTCATGTGCAGACAAGTTTGAGAAAAAAAAACACTGCAATAGCAATCAGCAGTAACATTATTTTAAAAATACAAATCCTGGCTCGGCGCCTGTGGCTCAAGTGGCTAAGGCGCTAGCCACATACACCTAAGGTGGCGGGTTTGAATCCAGCCCGGGCCCGCCAAACAACAGTGACAGCTGCAACCAAAAAATAGCCAGGCATTATGGTGGGTGCCTGTGGTCCCAGCTACTTGAGAGGCTGAGGCAGGAGACTTACTTGAGTCCAGGAGTTGAGGGTTGCTGTGAGCTGTGATTCCACAGCACTCTACCCAGGGGGACAGCTTGAGGCTCTGTCTCAAAAAAAACAAAAAAACAAAAAAAAACAAATCCTGTAAGGTAAGAAATGTATAAAAATAGTGCTAAAAGCCTAAGTCTAATGAAAGACATGAGTAGAGGAATGGGTGAAATTTGAATAAGATCTGTGGCTTAGTGCCTGGCATTATGTCATTTCCTGATTTTGACCAGTGAACTGTTGTTATATAAAGAGAATATCCTTGTTTTTGGAAATACACAGAAATATTCAGAGGTAAAAGGGCATCATATCTGAAACTTACTCTCAAATATGTAGGGGGAAACTTGGAATGAATAAAGCAAGTGCGGTAAAATGTTAACATTTAGAAAATCTGGGTTAAGGGGATACAGGAGTCCTTTATGCTATTTTTTCAATTCTTTAAAAGTCTGAAATTATTTCTAAGTAACAGAGTTTTTAAAATGAACTGTGCTTACAAGTCAAGAATAAAAAGACAAATTACTCAACAACTTTTTAAAGAATACATAGGATATGAATAGACATTTTCCCGAAGAAGTTATGCAAAGTTATACATTGCCCTCCAAATTAAAGAGACAAATCACAATTTACTGCAGTAGAAGCCCAGAAGCAGGTACTTTTCAGGAACTAATACCAGGATAGGAAAGCTCAATCTATAATTGATGAATGAATGGACAAGTTTGAGAATTTAAAACTCCAAGGGGTGCCCTGAATGGAGCCTCATGTTTGTAATCCTAGCACTTTGGGAGGACACGGTGGGAGGATCACTTGAGGTCACAACTTCACAACCCACTGGAGCAACATAGCAAGACCTTGTTTCTACAAGAAATATTTTTAAAATTTAGCTAGCCTGGTGGCATGCACCTGTGGTCCCAGTTACTCAGGAGACTGAGACAAGAGGATCATTTAAGCCCAGGAATTTGAAGTTGCAGTGAGCTATGATGATGTCATTGTGTTCCCAGGCAACAGAGTGAGACCCTATCTAAATAATTAATTCCATCCATCAATCAATCAATAAAACCTGGGAGGGGGGCAGTCTTAGAGGGCTCTCCACACTTCCATGTGTTTTACCTCCAGGAACCCTATGAGGGTTCTTGTAGTGTAGCTAGAGAAAAAGCTTCTTGTGTTTCTGGCAGGTGGAAGGGAAAGTAGCTATTTTTTAAAACATCCAGAACATTCTGTTTTTCTTAACAAGGCCTGATCTCAAGAGAAACTACTCA